CCTTGGGACCCTGCACCCATGTAGGAGACTCAGAAGAAGCTCCTGGCTGCTGACATCTGATCAGCTCAGCCCAGGCCATTGCGGCACTTGGGAGTGAACCAGTGGGTGGAAGATCTTTCTCTTTCTCTTTCCTTCCCTCTGTAGATCTGCCTTCTCAATGAAAGTAAATAAGGTCTCTAAAGGAAAAAAAACGAGTAGAAGATGAGGTATCATCCTGAACATAGGGAAGTTAGTAAAAATTTGTAGACAAGTATCAAAAGCCCAGTTGTCTTGTTTCTAGCTCGTCAGAATGCCAGCAGCCAAAGCTGAACCTCCTCTAGGGACTCTGCTGAGCACGCACCCATTCGTGCAGAGAAATGTCCGACATTGATGACGACAGGCACGCTGCAGATGACAGGCAAAAGGCTCTTCCATACACTCTAGGTTTCTAATCAGCAGTTTAATGCCTTGCATTAAAATATGATGTATTAAAATAAATATGTGAGAAGACAAGGAAAATGCAGTCTGGAAGAAACAGATCCAAAAATATTTATTTCATACTGTGAAAAAATGATGTAAAGTTATAGAGTTAAAAGTTCTGGGCCCTGGGCCTGGCATGATAGCTTAGTAGCTAGTCCTCACCTTGCACAGGCCAGGATTCCGGCACCAGTTTGTGTCCTAGTTGCTTTACTTGCCATCTAGTCCGCTGCCTGTGGCCTGGGAAAGCAGCAGAAGATGGCCCAAAGCCTTGGGACCCTGGCTAAGGAGAGGCTGAGTTCAGGCCATTGCAGCCACTAGGGAACTGAACCAGCAGAGGGAAGATCTTCTTCTCCTCTCCTTCTCTCTGTATATCTGTCCTTCCAATTAAAACAAAAACAAACAAAAAATCTGGGCCCAAACCAAAAACATAAGGTCTAAATCAGAAGGTGATTAGTAGGTGGCTGGTGTTTCTCTCTTTCTCTCTCTCTCACCTATCTTCTTTTCTAGTCACTGGCAACCAAAGATTAATAAAGTTGCATATGCCTGGGTCAGTTACCAGGGTTGATCCATCTCTGCAAAGCAAGCCAGCTAAGGCATTGCATATAGTACTTCGCAAGCTATAGTTTTAATCAAGGATTGTTCTTTTGATGCTTCCTTCTAAAATACAAATGAAATCATGGCAAAAAAAAAAAATTACACTTGACTGATGTGAAAATTTTTTTGCCCTCTTTAACCTTCTTTTGTTATGGTTTCTAATAGGAGAATGAAACTTCACCCATTTTTAGTGGCAGATTAAATTCATTTGGGAGAAATTATGCTTCTGAACTCTGCTGTGACCTACTGTCTAAATGACCACAGCCAGGTCAGTCTCCTTGCATTGAAACAATCCCTGGATGCTATTTTCTTAAAGTTACTCTGAAAGATTTCCAGTCAAGGACCCAGAGAGTCAGCCCAATGGCTGTTTATTCACAACAAAATAAAATGTGGGTTAGATTCCAAATACAGGAAATCACAATAAAAGCACTGGAGGCTAGGATAGCTTTTGGCAATGTTTGAGCCGATAGATGTTTCATTATGTTGACAGTAAGGATTCCCAATTCACTCGAAACTAGATATAATTGTAAACAAAGCTGCAAGATGGAGATCAGCAAAAACTATGTTGGCATAAAGACATGTAAGACATAAAGATATGTGAGAGAAAAAAAATATGTAGAATGGGAAGAGGATTTAAGTTTTTTCTGGTGTGATAAGAAGAGTAGGCAGGGATGCCATGTCTCTTTCAGTGTGAGGAAGGGTCAGAAACACCTGCATGCTAACAGAATCACTGGCACAGTTAGCAACAATTTTCAGACTCTCCTCATAGATTATATTGTACGGATATCTCTGCAACTACCTGGTAAATCAATAGATACAATAACATATCTATTCTGAAAGAACTATTAGAAGTTCAGACTACAAGACTGACATTATGGTTTGTAGGACAGAAGGAACATACCATCATAATGTTTAATCAGGCTGATTTCAACTTAAGGTAAAAACCTCTACCAAGTACCTGTTATCAGGGGGTGCTGCTGCAGAGACAGAGGAGACAAATCTGGTTCCAGGCATAAAGTAAGTCATGTCAGAGGACATCAACACAGACATCTGAGTATGATATAGCATAATCATAATCTGGAGTATATGCAAACCATTATGGTGATGCAAAGATTCATTTAACAGGAAATAATCCCCATGACAGAGGGAACAAATGGAAAGTTAAGAAGAATGAGTGGAGCTTTAAATTCATTTTTGATTCAGAGGTAAGAGAGCGCACCCATCCCAGGACAAGGACACAGAGAGGACACTTTCCACATCATAGGATACATGGAGAGAGGATGTTAATTCATCACACATTTGAACCAGATTATGAAGAACTTGGGATCATCTAAGAAGAACTTGAATTCACTCTCCCGCAATGAAATATGAGCAGGATTTTTTTCTTTTTATAGCACAAATGTGTTAATACTTGTGTTTAGCGTGAAGCAAAGTCTAGTGAATGAGAGGAAAGTGGAAAGGTGATCGTTAAGAAACTGCCACAAAGCTCTCTTATGGCCAGCTGAGCCTACAGGAGGGCGGTGACAACAGCAGTGGGAGAAAATGGAAGAAAAAAAACATCTAATAGCCTCAGTAAAAATTGGGTAACTTCACCTATATTTTCTATTATTTTCTCACAAGACCTTTACATTTCAAAATTTAAATTCCTTTAAGAACATACATGTAACATTTGTATGCTGATAGAATCAAACCAAATGGTACTACCATAAGACGCTTTATAAATCGAATAAAAATTCTTTCAAATTAATTCTTAAATTTGAGAGACACAGAGAGAGTGTGAATTCTCAATTGATTTACTCTCCAGATGCCAGGATTGGCCAGAGCTGAGCTGAATTCAAAGCTGGAAGCTGGAAATTCAATCCAGGTCTATGAGGTGGGTGCCAAGAATGCAATTACTGAACCACTGTCATTGCCTCCCGGGATTACGTTAACTAGAAGTCAGAGACTCATATTAAATCCAGAATCTGATGTGGAATGGAGGCATCTTAACTGCTACGATAACTGCCCATTCCAGAAAAGTTCTTTTAAAATGTGCTGTACCAGTTGAAAACTGCTGAAGCTAAGTGATGGGTCCTGAGTTTTCTTTATACAATAATGGTTATTTTTAATATGGTTTGAAAAACCTTTTCATAAAATTTTAAGGTATTTTAAGTGATTCCTGTGATCATTAGACACAGTACATATGTATCAAATTATCATACTATCCTCATGAATATGTACAAATACATGTTAATTACAAAACTCATAAAATAAAATGGTTCCCTTTCTTCACATTAGCTATTTGAGCAGGCTAGTGTAGGACTTCACCACGTAATTTAGAGATCACGCAAAATGAAAATTAACATTTTGTAGAGTAAGCACATTTATGATTAAATCATTCATTCACGTTCGTGAGCTTTTATGATTCTCATTTCTAAAATAGAACTTTATATTATTCACATTTTAAAATACACAAACTAGCACAAAATCTATCATAATTGCAAAATGCAATAATGGAATTACTTACACTGAATACTGTAATCTGCACAGTTTTAAAATATACATTTGGCTAACAATGTACTATGTATTAGATTTCAAGCATTATTTCAGAGATGCTTTTCTCAGACTGCTTTCCTGTACTTAATGATCAGAAAGAAATTTGCCTTCATAATAAGCAATTGCAAGTCTTACTTCACTGTGAAAATGAAAAGCATATAACAATAACAACCCATCTTTGGTTTCCTTTAAATCATCACTTCTCTTCTCTGAGCAAGGGGACAGGTTCCAAAGCCAAAAACTCTTCACTCTGCCACTCACTGGCTCTGAAACAAGCACCAGTGTCTCGGAGTCTCAAATGGGCAGTGAGTACCTTTCCCTAATCCTGCTGAGTAGGGAACAAATGAGTTTCAGCTATTAGATCCTCTGCATCGTTTCTTTACTGTCACCTCCTTCTAACCTACACAGCGGCCCTGGGAGCATCACATTGCCACACCTCTCAAATGTAAACTTACTTCCTGATGTTATATCAATATGTTAAAACTATTCTCGTTTAATAATTAGCCAACTTTACCTCCAAATCCAACAGACTCTTCCCTCGGTGTTCACTGTACGCTACCTCTATTATTTGGCAGTAATAATTCTATCCTATGCTCTTTTTCCCTTGGCATTATCATCTTCTCTTTTTGCTTCATTCAAATTGCACCAAAATCTGTGTCTCTAGTTACTAGCTTTTGCAAGTTCTTAAGGGAATTTCCAACTACCATTTAAGCAAGGCCACATGGTTAGGTCACCAGTAAATCAAGCTTGATTTGTAGTCCAAGAGTATCCCTATGTACTTTAGCTAAGTAAATATACTAACATCTGTAGCCCTAGGTTTTTCTTCAAACACCATTGCTATTGACTTACTTGTTCTACTGATTTTTTTCACCATATCCACTGTTAACACCCACTTTAACACCCTTCTTCCACAGCACTTCCAGCCTCAATCAGATAGAACAGAAATGGAGTCTCTACCTTTCATCCCTTCTCCCTCATACTGAGCAACTGCTGCGTAACATAACAGGGTACCATTTACAACTCTACACATTTGTTTTCAGGCTTTCCGTCCCATCCCCTTCATCACAGGCTCTAATCACACAGAGCCCTTCACATTCTCTATGCACTAGAAGTGTGAAAATATGTCCACATATTTATTGAATGCTGAATTCAATTTGAACATCAACTTAGAGGATATTTGGAACTCCTTTTATTTGTTATGTTTCATCTGGCCTCCCAATTCCCACTGGTACGGTATACTCACTAATCAAAGTGAGTTCTGAAACCACGGAAGCTTTCTAAATCACAACGTCACTACTAACCTGTCCCTTACTAACTTTTTTTTCAAGTATGTTATTTCCTTTGTAAAATTTCTACCGTAGTGGCTAAAAGTCTAAGAAAATATTTTAGATTTATAGGGCAGCTCTACTCACCAAGGGTTCAGCCATCACAACTTCAATTTTCTTTTCAGCTTGAACAGCAAATTCTGCAAAGAGGCTCTTGATGACATATTCACCAGGCTTGACATCTGGGTCAATTGTAATGTTTGACATGATGATATTCTTTCTTCCCCAAGTGGAATGAAAGTTAGAAGCAGCACAGTACTTATTCACTTTGCTGACCGTTGCTGAAGCTAAAAGTAAAAGACAAGATCTTTCTGTAAAAATCGGCTCAACAAGACCTACTAAATGAATAACAGCCTTATTCAATGCCATTCCACCCAAACCAGTATTCAGTCTCCCAATTTCCATGTACCATCTCCATTTTTCTCTATGACACTCTCCACCTTCTAACGCACTACCCAACATCACTGTACTGCAGTTACATGTGATGTTCATGGTGTGCTGTTTCTCTCTCCACCTTTTCAACATGAATCCCATAAAGAGAGCTATTTCATCTTGGGTTTTTTTTTTTTTCCCTCCTGGATGAATCCCAAGTTCCTGGAATAATGTCTAACATGAATTAGGTACAAATAAACATTCACTGAATGAATGAATGATTCAGAGGATCAGGTGCAGTAAAGAAACTAAAACATGAACAAATCAAACAATAACAGCAAAAGATCTGGAGGATGTGCTCAGGAAAGACCTCATTGAATAGCTAAATTAAATTCAGACTAAGTGATGAAAAAGACAGCAAGGTTAAGGAGTAGAAAAATTGAGTATGCAACCTGAAAAACAAAAGGGCCAGTGCGATGGGCAGTCAAGGCCAGAAGCAGGGATGGAGGGTGATGAGAGATGAGGGAGAGTCAGGAATCAGGGAACAAATCACACTGGACGTCTTAGGACTTTGTAAGGAAATTCGGTTTTATCACAAATGCAACTACAATTCAATAAGATATTAATGTGATGAGAGATGTGACAGGACTTCTCTTCATAAAAATCATTCTGGAGAAAAGGTTGTAACAGGGCCAATGTAGATTCAGCAAGGCCGAAATCTGGGCAAGAAGATCATAGCTGCAGCTCAGAGAATAGCAAAGAAGAGACAAAAAGAGATATTTTATTTGTTCCCAGATGAGCTACTATGGGGAGGGAAAGAAGGGTGATAAGACACTCAGAGGGGAATGACACAGTCTGGCAAACAGTAAATTGCAACAGGCTTGGCACCAAAAGCACACACCGCCACGTACTGTACACCTGTTCTCTTCTCTGGACTGTCACGGCAGCGCACCTGCCTCCCCACCCGTAACCAATGCACTGGCCTCCATCTTCTACCCTTTGTGCAAAACTCAGAGCTTCCTCCCACTTCTTACTTCATCTGAGGCCATCTCCTGTGTCCTAGAACATTCCTGCACAATCTCAAGTTTGTATTTCTCTACCGTAACCTTCTCCAGACCTGGCCTTGTATGCTGCCTTGTAAACGCCTACATTTCTTGACACAGGAAGCAGACCATGATTCGAACACTGAATTTCTGTGTATTTACTGATAACTATGGGAAAATAAATTTGCCTTAAACACAAACTCAGGACCTACAAGTAATTGTTCTGTCAAATTAAAAAAACTTTATTCTTCCTAATAATGTGTCACCACACATAACTTTTAAAAAATGAGCTAAGAAATACTGCAGGCTGTTAATAATATGCTTCATAGCACACCAACTTAAAATATATTAGACTCTGACTAAAATTATGTAATAAGAACAATTCTAAACAAAAATTCACAGTTCTTTGAACACAGTGCACATTATTTTAAACAATAACTTGCTTGTTAATGTCCTTTCCTGACTCAACATTGTGTATTATTAAGAAGGGAATCTGTTAACAAATGACAATGTAGAAAAGGAAATTTTGAATAAAAAATTATGTCGGATTATTAAGAGTGTGGTAACTTGACATAAACTAGAAAATTCAAATATATTTCATTTACTTAAGTACATTAAGTCCACAATTAAGTTTCTTATGAGCATAACAAAATTTCTCTGGTTTTATCTTTATTTTATTTCTTTTAAAGATTTATTTATTTTTATTGAAAAGGCAGATATACAGAGAGGAAGAGAGACAGAGAAGATTTTCCATCCGATGGTTCACTCCCCGAGAGAGCGCAACAGCTGGAGCGGATCCAATCCAAAGCCAGGAGGAGCTATGAAGAGCCAGGAACTTCTTCCGGGTCTCCCACGTCGGTGCAGGGTCCCAAAGTTTTGGCCGGCCTCGACTGCTTTCCCAGGCCACAGGCAGGGAGCTGGATGGGAAGTGGAGCTGCTGGGATTAGCACCGACGCCCATATGGGATCCCTGCGTGTTCAAGGCGAGGACTTTAACCACTATGCTCTAGCGCCAGGCCCTCCAGTTTTATCTTTATAGTAAACTCAACTCAAAACAAGCCTTTATAGATATAACTATTTAAATGCTCACTTTTGGTGACATGAACACTGTTTAAATGACACCTGAGCTTTAAATATGTTTTTTAAAAAGAAAGAATATAAGCTAAAATGATTTCTCAGTTAAACTTAATTCTACTGTCTTCCCTACTCCTTAAACAATAAGCACCAACATAACTAGGTATTACATTGCATAGTTTAAGAACCTTCCAATAAAGTTTAATCTTCAGAAAATTTTTATTTCTACCATTTTCAAAAATAAAAATACTCCTAGCTTAAAAACATAAAGCCGTACAAGAAAGCCTAAGAGGGCATGCAGTGTGGAGGCTTCTCCCGCCTGGTCCTACGACGCCGGTTCTAATCCCGGCAGCCCCCCTTCCCTTCCAGCTCCCTGCCTGTGGCCCGGGAAAGCAGTCGAGGATGGCCCAAAGCTTTGGGACCCTGCACCCGCGTGGGAGACCCGGAAGAGGCTCCTGGCTTCGGATCGGCATAGCATCGACTGCTGTGTTCACTTGGGGAGTGAATCATCGGACGGAAGATCTTCCTCTCTGTCTCTCCTCTCTGTATATCCGCCTTTCCAATAAAAAAAAAAATAAATAAATAAATCTTAAAAAAAAAAAAAAAGAAGAAGACATGAGCGGTGGACGGGCCTCAAGCGAAAACATAGTGTTGTCTCCAACCTTTCTTTAACCCTGATACATAATGACTTGTACCGGACATTTTCCAATATGAAAAAATTGCAAAGGGAACCATAATGAAAGATAAAAAGACATAAGTAAGAATAAAAGGAAGCCTACATTTTGTTTTTGGATAAAGACAATGCACAAAGCTGAACAAGGCAATACAAAACAAGCAGTTATTTGGTACTGTAATTAAAGCAAGCATCACTATTGACCACGGAAGAGCAGATGAGTTCATCTGAAGATGAAAGTATTTTGATAAATTCAAGTGCTTTGAATGTGGGGAAAGTTGACACTGAAAAAGTTATGCATGTCCAAAAATATGCTTAGAGAACATGAATCTCCAAAGAGGAAAAAAGAAATAAAGAAAAAAAGCAAACTACTGAACGAGAACAAGAAATCGAGGAGGTGGAAGAAAGCAAAGATGCAGGGAAAGACCCTGCCTGGACAGCCTCAGCCCGGTTATCACCTTCCAGAAAGCAAAAACTGAAGAACAAAACAGATGGAAGCCAGTTCAGGGGATCCCTCAATGTCAGATCACTCGAGACACGCGAGGATAAAGCACGTATTTCAGTGACTAGAACGAACACAGCGACTGAAAAGATATTTAGAGTGTGCATGTCCTAAAACAAAAACACCTTGGCACAGAGCATTGAGCAGATTCAACATCAAATGGTATGTGACTAGCAGACAGTTCATTGGGACTTTTAAAATACATATAAAGTATCATGCCCCTATCTTGCTTTAGCAAAGTACAGTTTGGGTATCCATACTTTGAAATCTTATATACCACAAAGTCTGGCAGATTTTCCCGGCTAACACAAATATCTGAAATAGAACATTCCACACCATGGGGTTCTTAGATGGCAGTGATATCACATGTCCCCTGCAGTTACCTTCAGGCACAAAGTCATGCTTAGCCCACGAAAGCTCATTATGTTCATACAACCACTCCAAAACCCAGAAACTTGGAGCCCAAAGTATGTCCAGTCCCAAATATCGCAGATAGGAGATACACAATCTATACATCAGAATTTGCTAGTAATAATCTTGAAAAGAACTAATTTTAATAAAAATTAAGCAGTTCCCATTCAACCCAAGGAAAAAATCTTACAAAATCATTTGAGATGTTCATTATAAAATTTCATTCTTGTCTGATTGTTCACATGGCTTTTAAAGCTTAATCTTCAAAACAAATACTTCATAAAATGTTAATAAACTATTTAAAAGAACTGTCTTTTTAAAAACTTCACAAGAAAAATATTTTTGATTCAATTGATTTCCATTATATTTCTTGTGGAGTACTTGGTAAATAAATTCCAGTTGAACTGTTTCATATGAAAAGATAAACAATGACTGAAGGGCCTGGCACAGCAGCCAAATAGCTAAAGTCTTTGCCTTGCATGTGCCAGGATCACAGATGGGCACAGGTTCATATCTCAGCTGCTCCACTTCCCATCCAGCTCCCTGCTTGTGGCCTGGGAAACCAAAGGGAGCTGTCCCAAAGCCTTGGGACCCTGCACCTGTATGGGAGACCCAGAAGAAGCTCCTGGCTCCTGGCTTTGGAATGGCTCAGCTCCTGCCATAGTGACTACTTGGGGAGTGAACCAGCAGATGAAAGATTTTTCTCTGTCTCTCCTTCACTCTGTGAATCTGACTTTCCAATAAAAAATACATCATATATATATACATATATATATATACATATATATATCCACAGATTAAATATTTATCCCAATCAAAATACCAATAACATTTTTCTCAGAAATGGAAAAGATACAAAAGTTCATCTGGAAACATAGTAGACCACTAATACCCAAAGCTATCCTGAAGAATGAAAACCAAGCTGGAGGAATCAGAATTCTAGACCTCAAGACACTACAGTGTCATCAAAACAGTCTGCTACTGGTACAGAAAGAGATTAATGGAACAGAACAGAAATCCCAGAAGGCTGCCCACGCATGTACAGTCAACTAATCTTCAACAAAACTGAAAATAATCCAGGTGTAAAGTCTGGTCTCTTCAACAAATCTGTAGAGACAATTGCATAGCAGCCTGCAGAGGTAAGAAGACACCCATTTGTTACCTTATGTTACCTAATACAAAAATCAACTCTAAATGGATCATGGACCTAAAT